ATTGTATTGTTACTTTTTTCTTGCTAATATGAAAGACAACTGTGATTACACCGGATGTGTATCATTTTATATCTATTTTTTATCATTCAACAAATACGACGGTGGTAGGGAGTGAATGTCCTGAAATTTTAACAAGTTGCCATTTGCTCTAAGTGTTAGTACATGAATTTTTTTAGATTGTATCTCAAAGATTCGGAGAGAAGTTGGCTACGCTTTCATATGGCTGATTTTTTTTTCTTAAATAACGTGAAAAGTGATTTTTAGATTGGAAGGAAGAGGAGGATGAAGAGAAGAAGATGAAAGATAAAAAGGTTTGGGACATTTCCTCTGTCTCAGTAAGATAAACGATAACACAGCTATAAAATATTAGCTTTATGTAACAAATTCAATACGACTCCGTTTTTGTAAAACATGTTGTTTTTGCTGGAGATTTTTGTTGTTCTCACTGTTGTTGATGTGCATTCACTACGGAATTGGCTGTGTTTATTTTTAGGGTTGTGCTCTTCATTTTTTTTTTGAGTAAGGAAACATGAATTTCAAGGACTTGACTATCAGTCTTTTCGTGCGTCATTTTGTCTAGAGTGTTTCCTTTATCACTGCCGGCTCCCTGTTCTTAAACAAGTAACGTTGGGACGGGCTAGAAAACTTTACCCAAAAAAGGATGACATATTTAGTGAATTTTTTGCCATTTAAAATTTAGGGGGTTTTCTATTCGACGTGATAATGTCGCTAGTAAAAAAAACTGGGAACTGATTTACCGTCTTCGTCTGAACAATACAGTGGCAGTGTGAAATTTAAATTTATTAAAAGAAAAACAAAATTTGTTTTTTCTTTTTTTACTTGATGTTTTATCTATGGTTCTTGCATTTAAAAAACTTGACAAATGTATAGGTTAAACTCATTTAAAATGTTAACTAAAACAATGCATAAAGAAAAAAAGCATGGCTCATGTAAATGTTTCAAAATAGAAAGTAATGGGAGGGAATGAGTAAAAAAAAGAATGACAAAAAGAAAAAAACAAGTTTCTTTTTTTTTTTTAATAGTTGAGAATTATAGCGGCGTTGCGGAAAAGATGAGTGGAGAGAAGAAAAGTGGGGAAAAAACTTTTATCTCATTTGTGACATATAATAATATTCAAAGAAAGAAAAAAAAACTGACAACTGAAATTGACGACAGTTTGTAGTCATCTTATATCCCAATTATTTTAGTGACGTGTGCTCTGAAAATATGTTTGTTTATAAAAGTAACAACTTTTTTCAAGCAAATGAAAAAAACGCTTCTGCTGATCAACAAGAATGTTGCTGCCGTCATCACCGTTGCCTTCGCCCCTAACTAACTCCTTTCTTTTTTTGGAGGGGGAGAGGAAGATTCGGTTTTCGAAGACTGCGGCTGTTGCTGTTGCCACCGCTAGTGTCGTATCCAACAGTTATAATTCGGCTTCTTTTACTTGTCAGGGCGTTCATATAGACAAATACGTGGCTGCTGTGTGGGATGCATGGATGATCAGCATCGCCAACACAGCGTATTTAGCCGGCAATCAACAACAACATTGCGGTCAAAACGCAGGAAAAAATAACGCGCACGCGATCCCCTACAGCTGCGGCGGTTAGGCACCGAGGTTGCGGCATCGCTGATTTTTGCGGCGATAAGGTTGGTTTTTTTCTCCTTTTTTCTCTTCTATTTCTGCGACAACTATATTGTAGCAATGGGGACCACATTGAGCCACCAACAAGAAAACGAAAAAAAAAAACGAAAGCGTTGCATCAAACAGAATCGACGGCAATTGACAGCCCTGATGATCATCGACACCCGAAAACCTCTTGGCGTTTCTGGGGTTGTCATTAAAGGGCTTTTTTTTCTCACTTCCTGCAACGTTCTTGATGAAGTTATACATAGTTTTATTGGTTTAAAATAAAAGGGCGACTGAAAAAGTTTTTCTTTCAAACTGCGAAAATTTGCTGAACATCGTAAAAAATGCATTTTATTTGCATCTTGGGCAAATGAGTAAAACTAACTTTAACGTTTAGCAGGCAGAAGAAGAAAAAAAAAAAA